TATTTTTCGAAATTTATATTAAACTTATTTTTTCTTAAATAATTGTAAAATTCTAAAATTAAGTGAAGAAATGTGCATTGCATAGGATTTGAAATTACACTTTGGCTTTCTTTAAAAAAAAATAAAATAATGCACTTTGGCAGTTTGCTTTAAAAAAAATTGAAAGAGTTATTTGATAAGCTTTTAGTGCATTGGTTTATGATTTACAGCCCTTTTATAAAAGGCTTGGACTGGTTCGTTGAAGGACTAAGGCTGAAATATTACGCATCTTTAACAAGAATGGCCCAGCCCATTTTTCCATTATACAGAAGCGTCTTTCTAAACTTTTTTTTAGAGCAAAAGCGTCAATATGACAATATGCATGTATGAATGTATCATGTATGATACATTGACACGAGTATCAATTTCATGTTTTTGGGTGACATGTACACTTCGTTTTATTTTTTTTTTGAGGGAATTTGCACACTTCGTTTGTTTTAAGGTCTATAATTAAGGAAATGGTAAAATTTCATATTTCATGTCAAATATGTATCAACATTCAAGTTTCAATTGTTTTCACAGTTAAATAGAATTGGTTCTATACAATATCATTTTATTATTAGTTCATTAATAAAATCCACTTAAAAGCATTCTTCCAAAAAAATATCCACTTAAAAACATAAATATATATTTTGTAGAATATATAAGTTCTTTTGTCTTTAGTCTATAATTAATTGTTGAATACTAACATTAAAATTATTTCTAAACTTAAGACAAACAAATGCTACCTAATCACATATCGACATGTAACCAATTTTCCTCAAAATTAACTTGGTCTCAGAGTGGAACCTACAACCGGTCATTTGAAAAACAAGAATGATTCCCGAACTAAAATAATTGTCACTTGTCATCCAAACAATTAGATATCAATACCAATCGTCTTTGACATAATCATGTTATAAGCTTATACAACTAATAATGAGATGATAATAAAGCTATATGAAATCGATCTCCAAACAAATGGCAATATAAAATAATATATCTAATGATATGATATACGTAGTATAAACCCTTCCTTGGGATTCACGGTAAGGACCAAAATTCTACTACACTTTCGAGAATAACAAGACCAACATTCTCTACGTCTTTTTTTTTTTTTTTTAATTTTTACTAGTGGAAATTGAGAGTTACATTTCGTAGCACAAAGAACCATGCATGAATTATTTCAAAAACAGCATATTTGAAGATCAAGTTACAGAAACCCATAGCATGTAAATTAGTCCCAGAAAAAAATAAAGAAACACTGTTTGAATAATAAAGGAAGCAAAAATAGTGTAATGAAGACAACATTTCCACATAGTAACCAACTTTAATTTGATCTTTTACAGACTTTAAGAAAAGAGGATGAACAGCTACCCAAAATAGGTTGTGATTGGCCTCTTTTTTGGCATCAAAAATAAAGGAATCATGCTTGGAGAAATTTGAGATAAATGTAAAATTTGGCCATTTGGGTGTAGATAATATATAGCTAGATGACTCCCAAAACCAAGTGATATACAGGTTCTCCTTTTAGAATTATAGATGAACCGCATTTTTTTTGTCCAAAATCAATAGTCATACATAAATGCATACGATACTCAAAAATATTATCACATTTCACAAAACAATTGGTTCAGTTAGATATTTAAAATAAATTAAGTCAGATTAGGATCCAATAAGGAGTTTAATATGTTGAAATTAAACCCCTTTGCTATCAACATGTAAGTTGTTTCACATTGAAAAATAGAGGATAAATTAACTAATTTATAAGATCCATAAGTTATATATTAGTTCTACCAGCGGCTGGTTTGGGATGAAATCTTTTAATGTAGGTTTGTAAACAGAGCAACCCTCATCTTTTTCCTTGGATAGCCCAGGTCCAATTCACCTATAAAATAAGGAAATTTTCATGGTATTATTAGAGTCTTAGCATGGTAGTGACTAGTGAGTCTCTTCTAAATTAAAATGGACACTTTCATTAGCCAAATGGATAATGATTTACCTCAAACCAATAGTGTATCCCATCCATATATTAAGAGGATAGTTATTGATTACACTTCTAGCTAGAGATAAATTTTAAGGACACATGAAATAAAGTTGTGTAAGTGTTGAAAATTGATACTTTATTGTTATTCACATGTAAATTGTCCTATATTATAACGTAGAAGGAGAGGAATTGAAAATAACTACCATTTCTGTTAATATACTTCATATAATGTATGTGTGTATGATACACTTTTAAATTAAATGGATCGAGCTTAAATTGATCTTAATTATGAAGGGGTTTGTAACAATTAAATTTCCTATGCATGGCTTCAAAAGCTGGTCAAAAAGATAAAGAGAGTAATATAGAAAGTGTAAAGAAGTAGGAATCTCTTGATCTTAAAACTATAGATGGCGGCGATTGCATGTTCGTTGTTCTAGACCAATTAATCATGTTAGTGATAGAGACTTGAATGTGTTTGATAAGGAAATTTGTCTCATGAATATGCCCAATATATTAGAAGTATGCTAATACTTTAATCGTTTAATGTTTGTTAATTGGGGCCTAAACCAGCCCAATATAGTGGTGGTCCAAGTAGCATACAAGTTTGGGTAGCTAATTCTTCCTTAATGAGCCTAGTATTGTGTAAGTATGTACTTCCACAATCCAATGTCTGATCTTCCGTCATACTTCCTTTGTTTATTTACTCATAATGTTTCATATTTTATGTTTGTGAATACGTTATTAATTTTAATTACTAAAATCTTTAATTGCTAATATGTAAAAACTATAAAAAATTAATATTTTAAAATTATAAATCTAGTTGAATCTAACAAAATTTTACATAAATATATTTTTCCTCAATCATAAATCGTCAAAACTAGTCAAACACTACAAGAAAAATGTCTTTTCGTAGCGATTATATTGTAGTGATTGTACATTCACTATAATATGCATGTATGTTTGTGAAATTGTAGAGGAAATCGTATCATTTTACAATCGTCATGGTAATCCCATATAAAATCGATACAAAAAACATAATAATACATATCCACCCTTTTTTTGCACATTTATAAAATTATTGAAAATCATATTGTTTACAATCGCCACTAAAACCCAAAAATCGATACGAAAAACCTTCTCTACACTAGATATACAAATATTGTTTGACAAATAATACATAAATTATGTCATAACTTATTGGTAAAACATTTAATATTAGAGCTTAAGGTTGCATTTTCGAATCTTGTAAAGATCATATGTGTGATTTTTTTTTTTGAAGAAAATGAGTTCAACATTTATAGCGATTATAATCCTCACCATGATTGTATGTAGTTTTTCGTATGAATTATTGAGGACAACCCTAGCGATATCAAAAAACACTACTAAAGGCTATCGTAACGGCGTATATTGTATCGAATAACCATTCGTTGGAAAAGCTTTTTGTAGCAAATACAATCGATACCAAAAGTTAGAATAATCACTACGAAAAGGTAATTTTCTTGTAGTGAAAGTAAAGTATATGAATTGCTAAACTGAAGTAATGCTAGTAAAAAATAGGAGGAAATTGTATTGTCGGGTAATGATCTTAAACCTTTTTTTTCAAGATTAAAATTGAAAGAGATAATTGTATGTATGATCTTCAAGTCGGTTATTTTGAATCGCTTATGTACAGTTGTACCTTGAATCGTCAAAGAGTTTATATATACAAGCCAAAACCAAAGCTCAGCCGAGCATACTTGATGATTCCTTCAAGCCTAGAGAAGAAAGGAAGATGAAGATTTTCCTCCTATATAAACACTCATAGTATGTGGGGCTTGTTAGATTAATCCGATACATACTTTCATAATGCTAATTTTCTTTAATTTCTACCACTATATAATTAAGGTATTTAAGACTCCAATTGTGCTTTAGGAAGTGCAATTGGAGTAGAATGGAAGAAGTATTATAGTGGTTGATTCCATCTAAGGTTGGGAATTGGGATTAGGTGAATGGGTGAATATGGAGTGGGCAAGCGAGTATGAGGTGGGGCGCGTGGCCAGATATGGAGCATGTTATTGATTATAAATGTATAAAAGATTAACAAAATCAATAATGAATAAGAACAAGAATTTTTTGTAGTTCTTTAAAGTTGAATTAGCTAAGTCCACATACATTTTATATATATATATATATATATATATATATATATATATATCACCAATTAACGATAAGAGCTTGTGTTGGGGTAGGAATCTAAGTCCCACATAAAAGAATAAGAAAGTCTTTATAAGTAATAGCACACTCAATTAATATGAGACTTTTTGAAAAGATGTTGAAAAATAAATATGTGTGGCTTTGTCTCATAGTAGACAACATCATACCAATGTGGAGTTAAGGTGTGCATATGGCCCAACAAGGTGGATGATTCGAGCCCAACAACATGCTCAAAAAATTAGAATAAGAGAATTCCTTTAATGGAAATAAAGTCTATAAAATTAAGAATAAGAAATGGTAGATGAGATCAAGTAGTGGTGGATCGATAAAAAGCGAGAGATAAAGAAAGCCCTCAATTTGGGGAACATTTTACCTAAGAAAAATGATGATGAACTATAATCCTCAATGGAAGGGTGACAATAATTACCCCCGTGTGTCTCTAAACTCAATTGTGCACTTTTTTTTAATTTATTTTACATATCAACATATTTGGATAAACAAATTGAATAATTAAATACACACCAACAACTTTAGTTTCTAATTTAAAAAATCTATGTCCTTCGACCCTAATCTCACTCTGATTTTGGCTTTTTCTATTTCAAAAAATTGAAATACTTTGACTAAAAAAGTGTTGCAATTTTTATGAAATTGAGAAAGTAAAATGTTTACCATGTTGATCCATATTACCAAAATACTCCCGAATAGTCTAGTACACTATCAATTTATAACGAATTATAAGATCAATTCGTGCAAAAAGAGTAGTAGACAAGTTAATTATCACATGCAATAATTACATACATTTATCTTTTATTTAGTTTAATAAATTTAGTTTAGTACATTAATCTTATCCAGTTAGGACCATATTAAGATAATGATAATGAAGTAACTTTATTCCTTTTTTTTTTTCAATAATGATGGTAGTAATAATGATATCTCTACTCCAAAAGAGTGGAAAACCCACTTTACCGTTGCATACTCAATCAATTACCCCCTTTCACACTTCTAAAAAGAAACCTCCAAACCCCAAAACCCAAAAAAAGAAAAAAACACAACCAACCAAACCAAAACAACCAAAACCATGAGTGGCTTTAGCAAGCTTGGCATCATACTCACTTCAGTCTTTTCCATCCTTTTTCTCTCCCTCTTAGCCGAGCTCATCTACCTCGTTTGGCGTCGCCGTCAACAAGCTCGTCGCAACACTAGCCGCATCGAGCCCGCTTGTGCACCCACATCAACGCCGTTACCAACCACCACTTCACACGCTGAACTCTTCAAATTAGACGGAATTTACGGCGCTCCTTCGAGGGTTCTCTTTACCATCAAGGAAGAAGAGCGAGAAGAAGTTGAAACTGAACTTGCTTCTGTTTTAGGAGATCATGGGAAATTTGGAGTTAGTTTGAGTCAACATTTTGGTAATTTTCAGCTTCCTGTTGGGGGTGATGCGCCGGAGGTAATTATTATGGTGGGTGAAGATGATGATTTCGATGTCGAACCGGATTTCTTGACTCCTTGTACTTCTCCGCCTTACTTTACTCCCTCGCCTTCTCCGACGAGAGAGGAGTTAGATAGGTGATCACTAACACCGCGTAAAATTTGAACCTGTAACCTATCGTGTCTTAAATTAATTTTGTAGGGAAAATATATTATCTTCTAGTTGGGTAGTTGGAGATTGTATAGGAAAATATTAGTTGTACGATTTAGGTATGCTTTAATTTTTCATAATTATTACTAAAGAAAGTGTTGGAAAACAAGAATTTCTATGCTTTCCTTGTTCATTTTTTCTATTGTTAATAGTGTATTAATTATTTTAATTTCTCAACCTTCAATTCAATCTAACATGAGATTGTTCATAGACATCATAGTACGAGTAGTTCACTAGTTCAGTAGTACTCCAGAAAACTCAATTATTACTCAAAACATTGTCATATTTGATATTTGTCAACTTGGCAATTAGTACTATACCTGCATATCCACCCATACGTGCTGTACGAGTCGAGACGTCTGTGATATGTGCGAGGCTTGTGAATTATACCGCGAAGCCTGGATAAATATTACTACTCCGTAAGTGTACAATCTGTGCATTTGCTTCAGCCACAATGTAAACTAATTAATCAAATTAGCTAATTGATTACATCTTTCCAAATTAAATAAGGTCAATTGAAGATTTTCCTTATTTGATGGTTAATAGATAGTTAGATACTAAACGGCCACATTCATTTTAAAATACTAGCATCCGTTTAATTTATTTTGTTTGCTAAGCCAATTTTAACTATTAATATCTTTATTATAAGTCAAACATATTGTAAAACGATACATAATACATTGAAATTCCTAACAATAGTTTACGTATCCACATTTCTTTTTATAGGAAATATATAAATATAAAATGCGGTCAAAGTTAAAAACCGTGTCACTGATTTACTACTTCATACAATACTATTTACAAGTATACTATTTGGGATGAGATTTTATTTCATTTAAGAAATTACATAGTTCTAAGTAACAGAAATATATGTGTAGCTAGTGGCTAGTGAATCTTTGACATAGAAAAGTAGTTGAAGGTATATTAATTGACTTCAAGTCTTCAATGTAGAAGGGGTTAGAAAAAAAAATGTATGATTTGGATGTTTTGTTGTTGGAAGCTAGCTATGTTGTTGTAAATAAGACAATGACATTATTGATTTTTATGTTTTTGTGATCTGATGTTACTGGAAATAAAAAGATACTGACTACTGATTACAAAATAATTTTTTTCTATTGCCGTTGAAGTGGGTAAAGGGAAGACTGTGTGAAAATTCTTGTACGTACTACGTCCATGTAAAATCAGTAAATGTGAATAGCTAACAAGTGATGTAAGGGTAATTTTTTTTTTTTTTTTTTTTTTTCTGGTGATTTGATACTCAGTACTCCGTAAACTTTATTCGATAATTTTTTTTTTTCCATTATCTTTTTTTACAAGTAAAAATAATAATCAGAGTAGATAGGAGGAAAAATTATAGACTGACTCATTAATATAAATGTTCATTGGATGCATCTAAACTAACTCTAGGTATACCGTGTATATAATTAAATAGTTAAATACAAGTATAATTTGTATATTGTGGCGACATAAATATTAAGGGGCAGTGACAAAATAGTATTTAATACAGCTTATTGTGTTGGATTATGAAGGTTGCCTGAAAAGTAGACTAGGCGTGCTATGTTACACTCTCTGTTTTTGTTACAAAGAATGGTTTCGGCTCAATTATGATCTGCACAAGCGTGCTAGTTTTTCTTTGTTTTTGTCCTATATATATGTATTTTTATTATAAATAATCTTGTAAGAATTGTGGATCAATTGATCAAATACGTGGGCCAGACATAACCAAAGAAGCCCAATATAATAAATGTTTATATCCAATTAGTGGGCCAGCCGCCAGCCATAACCAAAAAGCCCAATATTATAAATCTTTATATCCAAATAGTGGGTCAGCCATAACCAAAGAGCTCAATATTATAAATCTTTATATCCAATTAGTGGGCCAGCCCATAGCACAAGAGCCCATAAGGCCTACAGAATATAACCATGCAGATTGAACAAACAGGAAGGTTTACAAGATGGCAGCTAATTAACCACTCTTATAAGCTGTAAAATTCAACTTGTAGTTGTAGGCTTCTAGGACTTGTAGCCTTGTTTTTTTTTTTTTTTTTTTTTTTTTTGAGGGCAAGCAAAAGCTTCAATTAATTAGATGATAAATAATCAGAGAGTACATAAGGAGCTACATCACTAGGAACATGGTTAAACCATATTTGTTCTACATCAAGGGGAATGAAACGAGCTAAATGAGGCGCTACATTATTGCCTTCCCTGCCAACATGAGACCGAGAAACGTAGTCGAAATATGAGCACACATCAAAAGCGCCTTCAAGCAGAACGTCCAGCTCAAAGAGTTATCTAGCAGCTTTGTGTAGCCTCGAGATAATGGTGCTGCAGTCAGACTCAATTATCACCTTGCTGTGACCAAATTTTTTAGCAAGGCGTGCAGCGTGTATGAGGGCTTTACATTCAGCAACTTTAGGAGATCATCTACCCTTCATCCTTCGTGAGCTAGCAAAGAGAACCTTACCCAGATGGTTCCGAGCAACAACTCCAATGCCAATCCAGCCATCAGTTGCTAAAGAGGCGTCACAATTAACCTTTATGCATCCGTTAGGGGGAGCTAACCAGGTCTTGGGGCTCTTCGTGTTGCAGGGGCTGTGCTTCCCATAAATTCCCACATTATATTTGTCATAATCTTCCACCAATTGCTGCATTCTTGAGATGACATTACTGTGAGCAACATCCATATTATTGAATACTTTATTGTTTCTTCGCTGCCAAATCAGCCATAGTAATGCTGCTCCCCTTTGCTAAACCTTCTTATCTTCCTCATGCCACAGTTCAAACAAGTCTTTAAAGTCAGGGAAACTTCCTTTGTTCACCAAATTTTGACAGTGAGCTTCAATCCACAAATCACAGACTGTAGGGCACTTAAAGAAAGCATGCTCAATAGTTTCTACTCCATCTCTACACCATGGACACATCTCATCATCAGATTTATGTCGATGCTTCAAAAGATCTCGGACAGGCAAATAACCAGTACAGATTCTCCAGAGTAGATGGCGTACCTTGGGGATAGTTTCCAGCTTCCAAAGATTGACCCATGCCTGGTGGAAGGAGTCGAAATTGCACCCCTTTCCTAACATATAAGCTGATTTTACAGATTAATGGCCGTCTTTGGAAAATGCCCATGTGAGACGGTCTTGCGGGAATCTAAAGCTTAGAGGAATAGTAGTAATACACTTAATATCGCGTTCCAAAAAAACCTCAGAAAGAATGTTGTGATTCCAATCCACAGCCTCGAAGTCAATTAATTCATTAACATGACTTAGTCTATCAGAACGAGGCGTAATGATTTTGCTTCCGAATTCATCCGCTACCCATGGATCATCCCAGACTTTGATCTCACACCCGTTTCCTACTCTCCACAAAAGACCCTCCCCTAACAGTAGTAAAGTGCCCCATATAGCACGCCAAGAAAAACTGCTCACTTGGCTAAGAGAAGCATTCAGAATATCACAATTTGGGAAGTACTCTTTCTTCATAACTCTGCCAAACAGAGAATCTGGTTGAGAGATAAGGAGCTAAGCCTACTTGCCTAACATTGCATCATTAAATACAACCATATCTCAAAAGCCTAGACCCCCAAGACACTTCGGAGCATATAAGGAGTCCCAATTAATGCAATGAACCTTTCGACGGGAATCGGAATGACCCCACCAAAATCTTGCTGTCATAGCTCGTATCTCATCAATGACTCCTAATGGGATCTTGTAGACTCCCATAATGTAAGTAGGGATTGCTTGGATGACTGACTTGATTAGTGTTTTCTTTCCTGCTCGGGAGAGAAGCTTTTCCTTCCAACCTTGGAGTTTCTTCCAAATTCTCTCTTTCAATGCTACAAAGACCGCTTTCTCTGACCTGCCAATAATTGTCGGGATCCCAAGATGCTTCCCATGTTCATCCATATGTCTCATTCCCAAAAACTGTACAAGCTCATTTTGCCTAGAGACACAAACACCCTTCCTAAATGAGACCTCCGATTTTTCAAAATTGATTTTTTGTCCGGAAGCTGCTTCATAACTGTTGAGAATATCAACTATCGTGGAGCATTCCTTTTGGTCGGCTCTAGCAAATAACAGACCGTCGTCGGCAAAAAAGAGATGAGAAATTTCGGGACCATTTCGGCTAGCTCTAGCCCCATGAATTTCTCCTGCAGAGACCGCTTTTCATAAAAGACCTGAGAATGCATCAGCAATCATAATAAACAAATAAGGAGATAGGGGGTCCCCATGTCGCAGACCTCTCGACAGGATGACCAAACCACATTCAGCTCCGTTTATTATGAAAGAGTATGACACTGTCGAAACACACCTCATTACAACAGTGATCCACTCCTCGGAAAATCCCAATCTGTGAAGCAATTTCTCCAGAAAAGACCACTCAACCCGATCATAGGCCTTGCTCATGTCAGGTTGCAGAGCTATTGTCCCCTTACGACTTTTGCTCCTCTTTTGCATAGCATGAAAGAGCTCAAGGGCGATAAGGGCATTGTCAATAATAAGTCTTTCCGGAACAAAAGCACTTTGATTTTCAGAAATTATTCCGGGAAGAATAGATTTAAGTCTCATAACAATAGCCTTAGACGCAATTTTATACAACACATTACATAGTGCAATAGGCCTAAATTCAGACATTGAGCGGGGGGTTTTTACCTTAGAAATGAGAGCAATATTAGTTCGATTAACTTCCTCCGGAGAAGGCCGACAATGAAGAATGTTGCAGACGTAATTAGTGACATCATCCCCAATAATATGCCAAAATTTCTGATAGAATATAGCATGAATCCCATCAGGGCCTGGAGCTTTACAAGGATGCATCTCACTAATCGCCGCAAAAATATTATCTTTGGTGTAAGACCGTAGTAACATATCATTCATCTCCCTGGACATAGAGATTGGGGTGGCTACCAACACCTCCTCACAAGTAGTCTGATCCGGCATACTTGAGGAAAAAAGACCTGAATAGTATCGTTGAATAATTACTTCAATATCCTCATCCTCATCGCACCATTCACCATTTTCATCCAGAATCCGAGTAATTTCATTTTTCTTTTTTTGCTGAGAAGCTTTATGATGAAAATATCTTGTATTTCGGTCACCATCCTTAATTTCAGCAGACCTAGACCGCAAGTACCAGTATGCCTCTTGCTTTTCAAAAACATCTTCAATCTTCTTTTGCAAATCT